GGACAATAACAGGTTCTCACTTTCAGGTCTAATTCTTTAAATATACAATTAAGTTATAATTATTGAACGAAATATAAGTTATAGGATGTCAGGTGATGTCCAATATGTGATTAGTTAATACACCATGTCATTATGCATGAGTAGTTTTACTTGGTGCAAGAAAAAAAGAGCAATTGACAGTATTTATTTATAAGTGCATACATGACCTCAGCTCCAGCTATTTCTGTCATATACTGGCATTTCATTTGTGTACTCCAGAAGCAGATCTGCTGTAAAAAGATGACCTCTGTCTTATTTACGAGCAGAACAGAAGAGGCTCAGTCAAAATGCTGAGATTCTCTCTGACTTCCTCTCATTTTTACCAACCTCATTAATGCATTTCAGCTGGAAAATATTAAGGTTGTCAATATGCAAGTTTTGAATATTGTATTACTGTCACATCTTGTGTAATTTAGAGTTTGTACCTGTGATAGTTGTCACTTCCAAGAGAGTCTCTTACATAACATGCACTGCTTCAGATACTCCAAACAAGCCTAATGTCAGCAGCTGCCTAATTTTCAGGAACATTGCTGGCTTCACATCAAATGAAAATTGTCTATATCAGGAATCTGATGTCCTCTCTAATTATAGGAGGAGATTTCAAAATCAGAATATTCGATGTTTTCATGGATTGGATTTTGGTTTCTGAAATTCAGTTAATATGTATAACTTTATGATATTTTCTTTAAATTTGATTTTAGTTGTGAACTTCACCTCTGGTGATCTCAATATTATATTGCAGCACACATACACACACACATTCCACATTAAAATAACATGATTAATTTTGAAAAGTCAAGCACTCAAAAATTAGGAAATGCCAGAATTAAGGTTGTCCACACAATCTTAATGTGACCCCTTGTGCATATGCATTATGATGCAGTCTTTAATTATATGACTACATATTTTTTCCACAGGATCATTGAATACACAGAGTTGATCTGCTCTGTGAGGTGAATCAGGATTATGCAGTGAAAGAAGCTATTGCCCATAGGACACCCCTTCCTCATCTGTAACAGAAGTCAGAAGTGTGTAGTGTCAGTCAGGGGATTGTGGGAAGAGAAAGGATGGTATCATGGTTAAGGCAGTCCAATGCTTCCTTGGATAATTTGTTTCTATCACAGCCCTTGCCTCCACATTCCATGTAATTCTGGGGAAGTAATTCAAACTTTGGACATGTAATGTTCCTCACTTACCAGGTGCCAGACTTGAAATCCTGAATATTCATTCTTTCAGCTGAAGTCAATAGGAACTGTGTTTGGAACAATTAATGTGCTATATAATACTAATTACTCCTTGTCATGAATTGCCTCTGCCCAAAAAAACCCCTATTGAATACTAGAGGATATAGGTGTTCTGTGTATCAGATATCCATCTGTAAAATGGGTATAATATTATAGTATTGTGAAAACAAGCTAACTTACATTTGTAATGCTCGCAGCAAATGTAATGGTGAGCACCATAAAAAGCCTAGGGGGAAATGAATAAGTCTTTCTTCAGAGCAGGGTTTGAAAAGTATGCAGTATAAGCAGGCTGGGACCACTTCTTGAACAATTAAGATAAAGCAAAACCTCAGACAGCTTTTTAGAAAACAAGCAACATCTATTCTGAGCACTGAATGAGGCAGGGATCATGTTGGGAAAAAAATATATGGTGCAATACAATGACTACCAGCAGGCATATTCACAAGTATGCCAAACTAAAATGCTCAGAAAAACTTAATTTTGGCATTTCCTAATTTTTGAATTCTTGACTTAGCAATCTTAACGGTATTCATCTTAATTTTTGAGTGTGTGTACAATTTCCTTTGTTTTTTTAAAAAAAGGAAACTGAAAAAAGAAATTCAGAAATTCCATCATGTGCCATCATACTGGTACCTGCCAGGATCATAAGCAGGCATAGAAGATCCACCACACAAGCTATGTCTACACATAAGCGTTATTTCTGAATAACTTCAGTTATTCTGAAATAACGTAGTGCTCGTCTACACAGCAAGCCCGTTATTTTGAACGAATTTGAAATAATGGGCTTCTTACTCCAACTCCTGTTACCCTCATCATGTGGGGAGTAGTGTTCTCTCTAAACTGCATGGCAACACAGCTTCACAGGTGATTAATCTTTCCCGCCCAGTCAGTGGCTCAGGACTCCATGTGTGGAACTGACTGATTGGGCAGGGCTGATTAATTACCTGTGAAGCTGTGCTACTGCACAGTTTAGAGGGAACACTGATGAGGAGTAAGGGAAGTTGGGGGGAAAGTGCTCTATTTCAAAATAACTTCTGTGTAGACAGCGCCAAAAGTCAAAATAAGCTATTTCGACGTAAGCTATGCAATTAGCATAGCTCAAGTTACGTACCTTTTTTTGAGTTTAGCCCTTTTGTGTAGACATGCCCAAAGACATCTTAATGGAGTAACTTATAGCAGTAGTGGGGTATAATTCTCCTTCTGGAGCAGCCGTAGAGCAGCATGGGACACTTTGTCAGTGGGCTTCACTGTTGTTTGCCAACCGCAGAGAAATGGTGAGACTCAGAAATCGTGGGTTCGTGCACAAAGGACACATGCTCTAGTAAGTTCAGGGTACGTCTAGACTACATGCCTCTGTCGCCAGAGGCATGTAGATTAGGCTACCAGGCATAGGAAAATGAAGTGGCGATTTAAATAATTGCCGCTTCATTTAAATTTACGTGGCTGCCGTGCTGAGCCGATCAGCTGTTTGTCGGCTCAGCGCGGTAGTCTGGACGCGCGGGTGTCGACATCAAAGGCATTTGTCGACCACCCAGGTATGCCTCCTGGGATGATT